CTTATCACAGAGGACAGGTAGATTCAATAATTGGCATCAGTTCCTAGCCCTTCTAGCTGTTGTGTCTACTTTCATTATTTCTTCTCTATTTCCCCTCTCCTCAGTATACTAAATACATGCAGAAATAAAAATTGCTAGGTAGTGTCTTGCTGTGAGAAGGATCCCTAATGAGCAGTTAACTAATTGCTGGATCTAGAGCCACGACAGCCTCCCCTTTATATTACGACATGACGGTGGCTGCAATATTGCCCAGTTTGCTGGTTAAATATAATTTACATTCAGTTCTGGCAATCACTAATGTGACCTCACTGAATGCTGCTAATGAAATCCAGCTATACTCAAATTCACCCATGCTAGCTCACTATGGAGATCTAAACCAAAGAAAAGGCAATATGAATATGACATGAATATATCTCAAATGAAAAATGCAAGAGATTCTCTCAATAGTCTCTTCATAAGCAAGGACAGTTTTCAGAGAAAGATAAAAAAAAAAAAGACTTCTTAATTTACATTCACCTATTTTGGCTTCTAGTTTTTTCAGCCGAGATTTCAGCTCACTAACCAACCTGACACAGTTAACTCAGACAGAGGAATGTATCGGTTGAATTAATTTTCCTATACTTCTAGGGATTTATTTTTAGATACAGGAGAGGAAAATGTGATAGCTTATTGGAACAATGGTAGCATATATAGAACATACTGGAAGAAAGTGCAACCTACAAATACAAGTTTTAGACAATCTACTACAAAATAAAGAAGAAAAAAAAGAAGTAAATAAACACTTGTGTAAATGTCTTGGAGTTGCACAAGCAGAAAGAGGAAATGTGAGCTTTTATTTGTCTGTAAGACTTTAATGTTTTAACTTTAATATAGTGTAATGTAATACTACCTTTTCTAAGGAGACACAACATGCCTATAAGCACACTGTACTTCTTTCAGAAATTCAGGTCAGCAAACTACAGTTTCAGTTATATGTAGCACAGTCAATTAACTCACTTACACCTATCATTAATGGGAATTTGACAGAGCCAAGCCTCAGGAATCTGATTCTACTTTGACTGGAAAACAAATACAGCCAGTGGTTGATTCATCAATGCAAACAGAAAAGAAACCTACACAGCAAAAGTGTTTGATTCTGTAAAAACACGGAAGAACAGTTTTGATGGCTCGTGTTAAACTACCACAAAGGCATGATTAATTTCCCTAGGATAACGTGTTTGTGATTTTTAGAACAAAGAACAACTAAGAAATGAATTCTGCACACCAATAAAATCAGTGGGCTTCCTAAATTCCTAAATTTTGTCCTTAGAGAGTTTACTGATGACCCTAAAAGACAAGGGTCACTCTGTTCTGTGTTGTTAGCACTGGGCTAACACTCGGAGCACAACAACCTGACTGATGATTTACAGCAAGGCGTAATGGAATCTCTTCCTGCTCTGCTGGCAGCAATCCTTTCTGTCCTCATACTCCTGCCAATATTTGTGTAAAAGCCTTCCCAACTTAACACAACAATAATTCATATCACCCTAGTGTGAAAAATGATCTAAACTTATGGTTCATAACATAGAAAAACATGACAGAACAGAATGTAATAATGCCAACAAAATGAGACCAAGACATTTATTCTGTAAATGGAACTGACACCTTCTATGGGAGTTACCTTGTTATAAATAATCCCACATTATACAATCCTTACTATAATTTCTCGATTCTTAAAAAATTCAACAGTTGTTAGGAAATATTTCAAATCAAAAAGGTTAGAGCATCACTACAGACATACAAAATGTTCCATCAAAAATAATATAGAGAAGAACCACCACAAAGAATGTGAAGATCTTCAAACTCCAGAAAATTTGAAAAAATGAAGAAATTGAGAAAAGTGTTGTTTCTGACTCTTATAGAGATTAAAGTTATTGGAAAACTGAGGCTACTTCTTGCAAATGAGCAAGATACATACCAGGACAAAAATCCCTTTAAACACTACATTCAAAACTCTGCATCATGAATCACATTTTTGACCCCCGTATGCAGAGCTCTTGTGCTAAATATGACCTTTCTTGGTGCTATAAACAAGGTGGGATTCTCTCTCTTAGCAATCATTAAATAGCAAAGAACACTGAAGTGACAAGGGAGCAATTTCTTGCAGCCAGAAGAAAAGTATTTAGGGAAGTTTATATTTCACAGTTAGAATCTAGTATTTTGTCAATGAATCAGATGTTGATGCTCTGAGTACGCAAAGAAACAGTTCTCAAGCCTCTCAACAACCCAGTTCAAAGATTAACCAACCTGATTCTACCCAGGAAAATGAAGAACAACAGCAACATCTTTCTTTTATTTATCTACATACTTGAATACGAATAACCAATTGTGCTTACAAAGATGAAGATATTATTTTCCACTAGCCATGCCAACTTTAGGAGAAATTTAAAGACATAGGAAGGAATGCCTACACATAGGACGAAAAAATTTAGAAATTTTCTGAATACTCTAGGTTCAATTTCTGGCTGGGCAATGAACCTATAGACTTACACAGCTTATCTGGCCCTGGGAGAAACAAAGGCACTATTTCCCATTATAATAAAGCAGAGCAATTTCCCTTCAGTGAACTTTGTATTTTGTGAGCACTTCATACTATAACAATGGAGTCCAGAGTTTAAGGGGCACATAATTTATTTTAATTAGTTCACATTTACTATTACTACCACGTAGGTAGTGCAGACACAAGAAATAATTCATGTGGCATAAACAGAGCCTTATCATTTGAAAGTTCTGTTCTGCCTTTATCTGACTTGAGAGAATTAGATTTTGAGCAACACCTGAGTTCTGTCTACAGTCACTTTATAAGTGAATATTTCTGTTGCATATCAATAATAAATACCATTAGCATGTAAATTCTGAATGTGTTTATCTTAGGAGATTGTCTGCAAATTTCCTTTACATAGCTACAAGAAGGAAATTAAGAACTTAAAACTCATGTCACGCATTATTAAAATAGAATGCTACAGAAATAAAAATATTAAAATATGTAGCTGCAAAACTTTTTGTCCTGAGTCCAGAGAAAAGGATTAAGTATGGCCAAGTATGTAGTAATATGAAGTCCATCTGCTTTCAAGCGCATCGTATACATATAAGGAACTTTCCTTATATGAGACTTGTATGAACAAGATCTCAGGCAGTCATCTAATTATGAAAACAAACATATCCCAAAAAGAGGTTAAAAAAAAAAAAAAAAAGAAATTAAAAAAGAAATCTGTTACTGAGTTTGTGTGTTCTCCTGAAAAATTTTTTCAGTGTCCTCACAAAACTCTCATAAAGCCCATTCTCACTTTAACCACTGGAGATTACCAGGGTCACAAATAAACACACTGAAAAAAGACACAACAATGGCTTCATGCAGGGTTGAACTCATTGCCACTCCACCTCTATCCCTGAATCTGGCAGGAGAAGGCTCCTTAGCTAGTACTCTATGAGCACTGCCAGGCCTGGCCTACTGCTGTCTTGTGTCCCAGGTGGTCTTTGATAAGGTGCCTTTTAAACATAGCTTGGCTGCTTCTGCTTCTTCACATTAACTAGCCCTGTGCAGGAGTTAGTAAGTCTGCCTAGAAACACAAAGTTAGTAGAGAACTGCCAGGCTTTGAAGAAGTCAGCAATGGAAATACATTCTAGGTTTTTCCCTTAGATTATCCAGGCTCTTCACTATATAGAATCCAAATTGCAGTCTACTGTAAAATATTTACCAGTTATCCTGTAATGTTACTAACTTCGGAAGTTTCAACCGTGCTTCTGCTTGACCTCCCTTTCTGCTGTACCACTATAACTTAGAAGGGAACTGGGGATAGGAGCTGTACTATAAACTAGGTTACTTACGTTATCTAGGTTAAAACCCAGAAGCTTTAAGGCTAAAAGATATAATTCCTGAAGCATCTGGTTCTACAGGCAAATGAACAAGCACAGGGCAGAATGTGAGAGACTGCAGCACCAGGGAACAACAGCACTTGCCTAAGAGTTTCTTAAATTCATCATACCTCCTAACAAAATGCATCATGTAACTATAGCAGAATTCCAGGCTGTCCAAACCTCTGAACACTTCTCAGGATATTAGTACCTTTATGTCAATCCAGTTGTTCACTTCAAGAAAGGAGCTGCTAAGTGGTTTTTTTTTTGTTGTTTGTATTATTACTTAATTAGGAAAGAATGTGATTTTCTTGCTTTATTTCCCTAATGAATACACTTTGAAATGATAAATGCATTTATTCTGAAAAAGAAAAAAACAGCACCTTCCCTCATTATTAGAAATATCTCATTTTGATTTCTAGTCTCTTTTTATTTCTGGTTTATGTAGTGATAGTTTTTGAGGCTAGAGAACAAAAACCATTCTCTATAAAGATAGCCTGTTTCAATCCGTCAGAGAATGAAAACAAGTGTTAATCTCAGGACTTCCTTTTTATGGCATGTAGAATAAACCTTAAAAAATATATTTTCCCTTTTATTATCTCCTTTAGATAAAGATTAGGAGATTTTAAAAGCACCTTTTAAATTAACAAACCGGTTCTAAATTGAGGTATTTAGCCATTCTCCAAAATATCCTGTTTAGAAAGCCAATGACACAATGACTGTATTTCCTGCTTAGTTTATGTAACAACTGGCAATTATTTTTTATTACAATGAAGTAATTGCAAATCTGAAAAAGCACAAGCCTCTCCAATCTTCTTGTCTAAACTAATATATATATATATATTTATTTTTTTCTAAGCACTCTTATTAGACAGAAGAACAATCAGAGGAATAAATCTTTAAGCAAAGTTAACAGTTCTCGCAGGCAGTTAGCGTCACTGGAACTCACCTTCTTGTGTATGGCAAAAGAAGAAGAACAGAAAGTAGTCCACAGAAAGATTAAGGAGTAATGACCACAGAGTTCTTGCCCATGACAGAATTTTGAATTTAAGGATGGAAGCTTTTTTTAAGCAACACCAAAGAGAGAATTAAGAAATGATACATACCTTATCTACTGGGAGAAAGTCATTTTCAACTTCTATTGACCTTGGCCGTAGCTTTATAGGTTTGTCTTTGAAGATATCTCCAAAGCCAACACCCTTGACCTTTTTGGGTTGGATTGTCGTGCCTCCATTGGCTCCTTCTGATTTTGTGCTGCCAGAGTCTCCACCATCACTCTCAGAGCCTGTAGTATCTTTCAGACCTAAGAGGGATAAAAGATTGAATATTAGGTGCAAAAATGTCTGTTTTCAAACGAGATTGTGATCAGGGCCCTCCCTCCAAGCTCTCAAGGAAAACAAACAATGAGAACCAAAGTAGAGAAGTTCCCTGTGCCATGCGCTCATTTTGGAGTTTTAAAAAGCACTTCAGTTTGTCACATTGGTGTACTAGTTAGAGCTTATACCAATTCACAAAACATGCACACTTCAGCATCAGAAGTTCATTCATGAAGGCAGTCATTCCTAGAATATCAAGGTAATCCTTCTTCCTTATACACAGATTATTTGCAAGATAATTCAATAAATGAAAGTTAAAATCAGTTCTAGGGCAGCTATTTTATAAACCACTTAACACCAACAGTCAGTCAGACCAGGAGTACTGTACCTTAAATCTGTATGACTCATATCAGGCCAATTATGCAACTGGTATCTAAAGTTACATTACCTAACAGGGAAATATAAAGCTGAAAGCTGTTTAAACAAATTTGCAATCAAATAAGCTGCATAATATGTTCCCTGCTGAGCATTAAATCTTTTTGCAGCACAGACAGCCTCATAAGAAAAGCACCCATGCACACAATCCTCTAGGAATATAATAAATCAAAACTGACATACTGATTTGCATTACTTCTCCCAGTGAATAGGAAAATTTATCTGTGCTTATCTGAAAATTTCCGCTGTTTGAACAGCAGAGGCCATAGATCCAATATGGTGACATCTCAGTCCTTTACAGGATGGTGCAGTCACGTCAAGCAGTAACTGGCAGCAGAAGTAACCCACTGAAGTTTCCTCCAATTGAAACAGTCTCCAGAAATCACTTAAACCTTCCTTCCTACACCGCAGATTGACTTAAATATGTTTCCAGGAAAAACACATCAGTTTATGCTACTAAATTGCTAATCTACCTAGTGATTTTCTGGGGCTTAGCTCACAGCTTTTGGTTTCATTGGTCTCTGTGCAAGAACTTTCTGTCTTTCTGGTGAGCAGTGACTTACTTTCAGGAAGACTTGTATTCCTGGCAATTCACTATTAAGGAAGATAACTAGCCAGTAAAACACATTCTTCTTCTAGGTCTACTTTATGTTTCTCTGATGAAGCACAGAATCCTTAACAAGTCCTGAGGCCTAAAGGCACAAATTCACAATCAAGGAAGCAAGGAGCTTACATGTTAAAATTAGTTTAAACAGCATGGTGCTGCAAGGAGAATTCAAGAGTTGTGTGTTAGGACAGGAATTTTAGCAAGAATGCTAAGCAGAAAAATTATCATATACTGTTCTGTTCTGAGATTTTCTATATCCAAAACATGAATGCAGAATCAGAGAAAGTTCGCATTTAGAAACAAACAAAAAGGCTGAAGATGCTTTGGCTCTCTGGCCTCTTGCACAGCTGTTGTATTTACTTGTTGAATATATATATATATATAACATTTGATTTAGATAGTACTGTACAAGTTATTTGTTCCATGAACTATCCAGGATTGGACTTAAAAGAATTCTTAATAATAATAATAATAACAACAGTAATACAGCTCTCTTTTTAAAAATGTGTTGGAGTTTCAATTTCTTTGCTTGGACTTTTTTATCTTCCCATGATAGGCCTGGGCAAACACTTCAAAGCTGATTTCACAGTTTTATCATAGAAGTTAAATAGCCATCAGTAAAGTAAATGCCATCAGTAAGGTAAATTCTGCTGAATTCTCTCTTTCAGGCTCGTGAAGGTTAACAATAAAAAAAAAAAGAAAAAGAAAACAAGCATATACTGCAATCCAGCTCTGCACTGTGGTGGCCATAGTGATGGAGTCCTAACTGCTACAGAGCCATTCCACCACATTCTGAGCAGAAGTGCTCGGAAGTGCAGGGTTACACTAATTAAGCCTGATAGATATAAATTTCTTCAGGCAACACAGCAAAGTCACTATCTTTTTCTTATTTCTGACCCTTGTTGTCACTTGGGCAGTGACAGAAGCAGGAAAATGAGTAATATTTCTGAGAGTAACCCTTTCAAACACAAAATTCACAATGATCATCCTCTATCTGCTGAACAAAAGATCTTCTTCAGTCTGGGATAGGAAAATTATCCTCTGGCAAAGGTTCCCTCTTTCATCCTTGCCAAGATTTCCTAACTAAAAAAATATAAAACTCTTCAGTGGACAAAAGCAGCAGTGCAGAGTACTTCCACAAGTAACTAACTGGGTTTTAACTGATAAGACACATGACCTCTCTTAGTCACTCCCTTAATGGAAAACATTTCTTCAAAATTATTGAAAATAGGTTTTCTGCATCACTAATTTTGGGAGAAGACATAAACCTAGACCCAGACCTTGGCCTGCAGATGGAAATAAAATATTGAAGTAATTATGGGAGTTACTCAACAGGTGTCATATGGACTTTCAGTTCTTTGAAGCCTGCATGAAAGAGAAATTAGAAACCTCAAGGGTCTCAGACAAAATTAGGCTTTTGTTTATGGGTCACATTTGTTTTTCATTATGGTATCTTCTGTTAGCATTCTTTCATGATGAGATAACACACCTCAGGCTTATAGCAGACTTTCTTAGCATCACTCATCTGTGATAATAATTGATGATAATCCTTGAGTCATTTCATTCTCAATGAGCTTTGTCTCCATTCACAGTCCCAATAATAAAAGTTACACAGTAGATAATATAATTTTTAGGAGGATAGAATGGACTTGAAGTGATATCTGTTCAACCTGTATTTAAGTGGTCAGATACAGAGACAGCCTTCTTCAAAGTTAAAATAATACTTCCTCATGAACTGGGACAATGACATCATTTATTACTTTTTGATTCACACAAATAGAGAAGCCCCATGGACTTTAAATAAATAAATGAATAAGTAAATGAAGAATAAAGGCTCTGGCTTTTCCAAGAACTAGTCTGTTCTTGTTCTTATCACTTTGTGGCTGAGGGAAAGAAGAGGTGACAGCAAAGAAGGCCTATACACAGTAAAAATTGAAAATATATTAAATAAAATGCAAACCTCCCTAGTCACATGAAGAAACAATGCAGGAAATAATCTAACATGCTCTTTCTCTTAAAGACATGCTGAGGGAATCCTCTCTTTACCTTAATTCTTCTCAAGGTTCCTGAGATAAGTTACCCCATTCTTCCAATTTGGAGTGAGAAGCAAAATTGAAGTCAAGGCTTTTCTTGCCTTCTAAAGGCTACTTGTTTTTACTCCACAACACATATCCCTTCTCTTAAAAAAAAAAAAATAATTTAAAAAAAGGGATTCAAGAGACTGTCTCTCATCTGCAACTGGTAGAAGTGGCTACTCGGACTATTTTCTCTATAACCCTACTAGCCTCTTTTCCTATTCTAAGTAAAACAGTCTTCGCATCCCCATCCCTGCCTACATAGGGAAGAAATGCCTGATGTTGTTTCTCCAATACACTCTTTTTTTCCTTCAGCTCTTAATGGCTTTTTTTGCCACTATTGCAAACAGCTCTGCAGAGAACTGAACTGAGAAGACAGTTTCCTCAGGACTTCACATACTTCAGAACCAGATAAAAGCTACATTAAAAAAGTAGCCAGAGGCCTGACTAAACAGCAAATTTTCTAGAAAGCTGTCAACTCTCTGTCAGCATTTGGATGGCTGAGAAGCTAAGAATATAACAGCAATGCGGTGTTAGTACACTAACATGCTTGCCATCCCCCCCAGTTCTAATAGCATGAAACTTTTCCAGATCTTCGTAGTTTCTCAGGAGGCAGGTAAGTCTTTTTTGGGTGTCACTTCTCATTTCTGTCTCTATAAACACAGATGCTCCTATTTATCATTGTCTAAACAACGTAGCACCGCAATGCAGAACTCACATCTCAGTGAGCTCCCCAAAACCTGCACAAGGGTCACATCACCAAGTTAAAATTCCCAGGAATCAGCTGCTCTCAACTGTTGGCTGGAACTAGACAAGGGTCTCCTGGCATAAAGCTATTTAAAAACATCCAGAGCTCTGAGATTCTCTGTTGCTTCGTGCTTCTCACAAATGTGAGATAATTTAGTATTCATGAAGATTAAATTCTCACAACACTGTCTGAAAGCATTTCACACTTCACACACATTTTTCCTCTATGGGCATATAAGAGATATTAGCTTTCTCAAGACATTTCAAACATACCACACTGCCAGTTACAGGCTCTTCGAGAGCAACATTCTGAAATGTACCAAAACAGAGTAGCTCAAAACAGGGATTAAAAAGCGACCACAACATCAGGCTTAATTCACCAACGTCCACAGAGCTGTGCTGGCATCAAACCAAGATTCTAAACCAGAAAGAGATTTGATAAAGGGCTGTGTAAACTAAAGCTGTTAAAACAAAAATAAACAGCTGCGATAAAATTAACTCCATTCAAAGCAGGAAAAGGATTGTTTTAAAATGACTTAAAAAGGCAGGAAAAAATGCAATACATTGTGAGTTCTACAGAGCTTTCTATTTTAAGGTATTATTTATGAATTTAATTTTTGTTCTGTTTTCTGGACTGTTCTGTCTACAGACATCCTATAGCACTGGGGAAAAGACAACTGTGCCGAGTGTGAGCCAATGATGCTTTGGCTCTCTGAGCTCTTAGACCAGCTCTGTTATGCCGCATAAAGGTCAGCTGTTCACAGACACACACCTGAGACTACGCAAAGAATCTCCTGATTTTGTCTGGCAGCCAGAGAGAAACATTGTCAACTGTGTTTAATACAGTAAAGAAGTGTGTAAATGAAACTTATTGGGTTTTCTGCCTTTTATGGAAGGAAAGGAAGGCAAGGGGAAATGTGTTCTTTCCTTCCATTTAGAGAATGGTAGTGTGAAGCTACTGAGTGACCAATCTGAATGATCAAGAAGATGAAGCTATACAGGGTAACCACAGCAAATGAGACCGGAAGCATCTTTCTTCCCTTTCTTCACACAGAAGCAAAGGAGACCACACAAATAAAGCCTATCAGGCATTTCTCTTCAGCTTGCTGTCCATAAAAGTCCA